GGGAGATTAAATTTTGCATCATAGAAAATGAAAATTATGTGACATACTTGACATTCTTCTATGGATCTCTCAAATACTGTTTGTTTTTGTTTTGTTTTTAAAATATTTTTTTTTAGTTGTAAATGGACACAATATCTTTACTTTATTTACTTATTTTTTATGTGGTGCTGAGGATCAAACCCAGTGCCTCACTCATGCGAGGTGAGTGCTCTTCCACTGAGCTACAACCCCAGCCCTGTTTTTGTTTTTTAATATCTTGATTTTTCATTGGCTCAGTCAGTATCTGGCAGATAACAGGCCCTCCAAATATTTGATTACTGAAAATATTCATGCATCATTCTTTAATTTAGGTGGGCCTCAGGAACCATTGACTTCTGAATTCCTGTGCGTGTTTTAACTTAACTGATTTGATTATACTATGTACAATCATTCCTACTATTATGAACCCTGTGAGCCTACCTTATTCTTTTCCCTCCTCATATTAACTTCTTGCTCAAGTTGAATTTCTGTTGTTATCACTATGTATAAAATAGTGTATAGTGTTATTCTTTGTTGTTGTTCTTGTCTGTGTGTATGATCTTTAGAGACCAGCCCATTTATTAACATTACAATGGCAGTTTGCATAATGATTGGGAGCATAGACTCTGAAACTAGATGGTTTTAATTATGTAACATAATCTTGGTCAAATTATTGAACATCAGTATACCTTAGTTTCTTTATCTATTTAGTAAAGATTTAATTTATGTACAGTTCTTAAAAACAATGCTTGACATATAGTAAGTATTATATATGTAGAGGGAGTTTATCTATTAATGTTGATTAATTTGAGGGGAGGCTTAATGACACCAATTCTTTATTGACCTTACTCATGTTTGTGTTCTTTAAAGATCTGCCCATTTCTTTTCATTAATGATCAGTTTCTTAATGTATATTCTGTTTCTTTGAAATTATGGTTACCTGTTATTCTTGTGACACACTGATAATAATGAATGAGATTTTTTAACAACTGTTCTTACTTGATATTTTCCTTTGATAAATTAGGTTCCAGTGTTCAGGGATATTAATCTACCTTGTTTGTTAATATATATTTTATAATTGCAAAAAGGTATAACAGACTGTAGGAACACTGACGAAATTCATTTCTTGAGCATATTGACAGCTTTGCATTGCTCGTGTGCCACATTATACCTGAAGTATGCATTAATCTGCTGTCCTATGTGGTCTGTTGCTTTGCTGCTTAATCAGTTGATTGATGGCCTTTTGGACAAAGAATATAACTAGTTTTCTATAACTGAATTGTTTTTCAACTGTTCACATAAATCACTTTCTTTAAACACTTGAAATATTTCAAAGTATGAAAGAAAAAAACAGCCATGTTTAAAGTAAGTTTCCAGTATATTTTTCAGAGGAAATTTGTGTATTTTGAATTAAAAATATCCTGTGAAATCAAATTTATCATTACAGTRAATTTTTCATAAACCAGTGGGTTTAATAATTGCTGGTGATAATATAGGGCAGAAGTGGATTTTATATAATAGCAAGACTTCTTACAACTATTTTTAAGATTTAAATTGCATAAGCAGATACATTTCACTTAATTTGCTTACCTTTTGTCTCAGCCTATCTAGTCATGGTACACTTTTGTATTATTTTTGTGTTATGCGACTATAGTAAAAGTGAAATATCCAAAACATAAGAAAATAGTAGCAATGAAATCAAATCAAAATGTTAATTTTTTAGTGTGAAATGTAAAAGTGGACTAATGTAGCTAAATAATAAACTGGGTTACAAAAAAGGACAGAACTGTCTTTAACAACAGGGTATCAGAAAAAATAATATACTTTAAGTCATTGTATCAGCTGTTTTGATAGTTTGTGTCAGTTTTCTCTGCAGTATCTTTCAACTTGATTTAATAAGTTGCTGTTTAATATTAAAGCTTTTTTATATTAAAAACTAAYAGTTTACTAATGATATGTTTTTCAGTGGCATACTTTTACTAGTACAACATTGTAATGCTGTTGTTGTATTAGCTGTGTTTGTTTATAAGTGAGCAAAAGAGCATTTAGGCATGATTTAACTGGTTCTCACTTGAAGTCTCAGGCACACCAAAACCTCCTAAGTTGAAGACAGGATTTCGGTTTTTGTAACTCTGTTATTTACCAAATATAGTATTATTTCTCCTTCAGTGACATGAGGCTGTGAAAATAAAATTGAGTTGAGATACATGAATATTTGCCATCAATAAAATTCTGCTATGATAGTGTCTACAGCACAGCAAATGGTAGCTGGGCAGCAGTTCAATTAAGATTAGTGTACAGATTAATCCATTACATTGCTATATAGTCATATTTTATTGGAGGGAACATTTGCTGAATTGTGCCATAGTTACACTTAATGAAATTCTTGCAAAAATTATGTAAAATTAAAGAAGAAACTAAAGTTCATTAATAAATTGACATCACACTGTCTTGAATGGAAGTATTCTTAATGTGTACTTACTCTTTTTTATCCATCATCACCAGCTTAGTAAGTTTCTTATTAAATGATTACCATTAATTGTTCAGTAAAGGTATATGACATCATGTAGGTGTTTGTATTTATATGCCTTTAATGAACGTTTGACATTTGCAAGTATTTGAGAAGAAATTCACACACATGGTTGCAGAAGGCACATTCATACATAGTTTTATTTGATTTTAAGCCTTAACCTTTATACTTTACATTCCGACTTGTACACAAATAATCATTGGCATCAACTCTAATGCCAGATTACCTCATTTTTTAAAAATGCTATCTCAATCACATGTAAGATAGCTGATTTTGAACAGGTTACTTTAATTCCTATTGTTCTCATCTAAAAATGTGGATGATGATAATAAATAATAACCACCTCATAGGGTTGTTAGATTAAATGAGTTAATACCTGCAAAATGTTTAATAGTGAATCATACATGGACATTGTTATTATTATATAATTGTAGATCAGTGAGAATTATCATGTAGTCTAGATTTATAGCTAAATGACTAGGGAGCATGCTTAAATCATGTGGAGAAGTAATGTATGTGATGATTCTTTTCAATTTTTACTTCCATTAGGCCACTTAGATTCCTAGCTAGTTATATAACAATGACTTTGTTGAGGCTCCACCTTAAGTTCCTCAAAAGTTAATAAGAGCTTGTACTTTGCTTTGAAATAGCTTACTTTGAAATTTGCCTTTAAACAAACAATAAGATCACTAAGAAATAGGACTGAATTCCCCAAGTTAACTCTAACTGAAGAGAAAGAGTTTAAGGATTGCTGCCCCTATTTGTAATATAAGTGATATGTATTGGTGCAGCAGTCTGGCTGGGCACAAAATCATGAGCCACTCAAGCAGGAACAGACTTTATTTCTGAACTCCCTTGAACGCCCAGGCAGACAGCAGGGGTCTAATATCCAATTGAATACTCATCTTAACATAACCATTATCATCTCAATGGCTTGCTGGCATCACCTTTCAACCAAAAATGCCATGCTTCATTCCTACTTCTCTATGGCTCTCAGCATATCCCCTCTTCTGTTTAATTAAGCACCAAGCATGTGGCTTAGGGACCGTGCCTGTTAGGCTGTCCAATACTACATATGGCTCTTACCCGTCATAGGATGAGCTGACCTCAAGGCGTCAGCCTCCTGTCTTAGGTTGGTACCACTGCAATTGGATCATCCCGGTCACTGACTACTGGTCCAGC